CTAATCCCCTGCCCTCCCCCTTTCCCTCCCACCCCTCTTTCCTATCTAGAATTCATCTATTCTTCCCATGCTCCCCCTCCCTACCCCACTATGAGTCAGCCTCCTTATATCAGAGAAAACATTCAGTATTTCTTTATATGGGATTAGCTAACTGCACTTAGTATTATCTTCTCCAACACCATCTGTTTACCTGCAAATGTCAGAAGCATATGGAATTTTCAAAGTCAAATATAAAACAGCTGATGTTGAATGATTTTATTTATATAAAGTGCAAAACATTGAAAGTGATCTCTACTGTTAGAAGTCACATACTAGTCACTATTGGGAACACATACAGGAAAGAGGATTTATAACAACTAGGATATTGTTTTACCGTGTAGCTGCTGCTTGCACAGGAGTTTTCAATTTGTAAAATTTGATTAGAAATGCATGCCAACAAATACATACAAATGTTTCAAAGATACATATCACTAATACAATATTAAGTAGTGAAATAAAATTTATTAGTACTCAGTGTTGTAAACAAACAAGATAGACGTTAAATAAAGGTTAAAACCTAATTAGCTTATGAAAAGAAGAAATATTGCATTGTGAAAATCACAGCACAGAAATCAATAAATTCAATATAAGCTGTTTAATAAAGAGGACATCAGTAGACTTTGCTTCCCATCATGTACAAGATTACATGGAACATATGTCTCATTTCATTGCAAGTGACAAACACTTGGTAGTGTTCACTTTGATATTTCCTTCAAAAGACACAGATGAAACATAAACATAATATGTAGATAAATGAAAAATAAGTGGCACTTGTAAATAAAGAAAATAAAATAATGAAAGCAGATTTATGCTGAAGAATTTGGCCATGGTTGTAATTGGTATATGGAGCCCGAAATTTATATTTGTTACATCTACTCTTCCCAAAATATTCCTGGGTGGACAATAAAGCCAAATATAAGTAGTGTACATGTGCACTTACTCAGGTACACATACACACACAAATGCACACACTGTAATAAAAAACCACATGTGTGTTGATTGTCATTCATAGAGATATGACTATCACTATAATTTTAATTTGGGAGTACAAATGAAGAAATATAAGAATTGCGCAAAGCCTACAATTTAGATGTTCCTCCTGACATTGGGTATTTTCCTATTCCTTATTCCAGAGAGACTGAGCCTGGATGCACTGGAGTTCCTGCTCATGAGCAGAAAGGGGCTGAGAGCTGGGAAACTCCCAGCAACTATTGCACCCATCTTTACCAGCAGCCAGTGGGGATTATAAATAACAATCACACAAACCTGAAAGATGCAGGAAAGTATGTAAAAAGACACAAAAGTGCTCACCAGGAGGAGAATGTTTTTGGTGGCTCTGGACTCAGGGGAGGACCTGGGGGAGCTGTTCTTATGAACATACTTCATTCTCTGCTTGTGCCTGTGCAGAATGAGCACCATGGAGCTGCTGGCCCAGAGCATGAGCCCCACACACAGGACATCAGGGAATGTTAGCAAGGCTGCATGCAGTGAGTATATGGTTCTGTGATGTTGAACAGCAGAACAGTATTCAAAATCTTTCATGCTTGTTATATTATTTTTGCTCCTTTTTCCAGTCATATGTGAAATAATTATAATATTTACAAGCAGGTACAGAATCCAGCTCAGGTATATGAAGAAACCAATGTATTTGGGAGCTTTCACTTTAAGCTCTGAACAGCTGGAATTCTCAGGACTAATCTTCATGGCCTGGAAGACACTCAGGAGGCAGGTGCTGCCAATGGACACACCCCTGCCCACCCTGTGAAGATAAAAAAGCAGCTTGCATCCAAAATCACTGAGGAAATCTTTCACTCCAAAAGCTGCCACTGTCTGAGGAACTCCTCTACACAGGAGAGCTAACAAGTTGGCCACAATCAAGTGCTGAAGAATCAAGTCTGTGTGTCTTACCGTGAACCCCATGAGGTAATTGACCAGGTAATGGAGGAGAAGAGAGGAATTGCCCAGAGCTCCAACCACAGTCTGTGACAAGAAGATGATACCTACAGCCACATCACTGGCTGCCATTCTGCCATTCACTGCTGTCCCAGCCAGAGAGTCCTGCATGGGAACAGGAGGCCTGGACTGCACATATCCTGTCAACCAAAATCCAATATTGTCCACACTCCAGAGTTACCACTCTGAAAACTTACCTAAGGTTTTATTTTCACTAGCAGGTTTTGATGACATTCATGACTATTTGAGGCAGGAAGTGTGTATAAATCCCTGTTGTGAAGGCAGCACCTTGTGATTCCTGAATCTTCATGACATTACTCAGGGGCTGAGATGACCGGGAGAATGTGTGCACACACGTTAAGTCTCTGTCCAGATTCATACTCTGATCAGGTGCA